TCCACTGACACCAATGATGGAACACTATTCCTCCCACTGACACCAATGATGGGGCACTATTCCTCCCACTGATACCAATGATGGGGCACTATTCCTCCCACTGACACCAATGATGAGGCACTATTCCTTCCACTGATACCAATGATGAGGCACTATTCCTTCCACTGATACCAATGATGAGGAACTATTCCTCCCACTGACACCAATGATGAGGCACTATTCCTCCCACTGATACCAATGATGGGGCCCTATTCCTCCCACTGATACCAATGATGGGGCACTATTCATCCCACTGACACCAATGATGGGGCACTATTCCTTCCACTGACGCCAATGATGGGGCACTATTCATCCCACTGACACCAATGATGGGGCACTATTCCTCCCATTGACACCAACAATGGGGCACTGTTCCTCCGACTGACACCAACAGTTGTGCCCACTGACACCAATGATGGGGCATAATTCCTCCCAATGATGGGGCACAATTCCTTCCACTGACACCAACAATGGGGCACAATTCCTTTCAATGGCACAAACATTTGATCCCAATTACACCAATGATGGGACACTATTCCTCATAATAACACCAACAATGAGGCAAAATTCCTGTGACTAATGCCAACAATTGTGCCCACTGACACCAATGATAGGGCACAATGCCTCCCACTGACACCAATGATGGAGCACTATTCCTCCCACCAACACCAACAATGGGGCACAATACCTCCCACCAACACCAATCATGGGGCACTATTCATCCCACTGACACCAATGATGGGGCACTATTCCTCCCACTGACACCAACAATTTTGCCCACTGACACCAGAGATGGAGCACAAGTTCTCCCAATGATGGGGCACAATTCTTCCCACTGACACCAACAATGGGGCACAATTCCTCTCAATGACACAAATATTTGATCCCTATGATACCAATGATGAGACACTATTCTTCACAATGACACCAGCGGTGAAGCACAATTACTTCCACTGACACTAACAATGGGGCACAGTTCCTCCGACTGACACCAATGATGGGGCACAATTCCTCCCACTGACACCAATGATGGGGCACAATTCCTCCCACTGATACCAATGATGGGGCACTATTCCTCCCACTGACACCAATGAGGGGGCACTATTCCTCCCACTGACACCAAAGATGTTTTTTTTTTTTCCTGCTGAAGTCGGGACTGTTTCTACTCCTAATGTCCACAGTCTCCCCCCCCCCTCCAAAGTCTGACAGTGAACACTGGCCCCTTGTTCAGAACATTTGTAGACCCCTGCTTTGAATGACCGGCCTTCCCTACCATGTGACCATTATGATTGACTGTCAAAGTGGTCACATGATCGATCATGACCGGAGACCATGAGCTGTCTATGACAGCTCAGTCACTGTGTTGGGAGGCTCCCTCACCACAGAGACCTCATCTGTCCATGCTTAGTGAAACCCGCCTCCTTTGCTGATCTGTGTCAGACATTTGTAAACACGGCCAAGAACTGCACAGGCACCAGGATTGACCAGCTGGATTCTCAGTCCTGGAAGAAGGTGGTGTCCCTGGATGATGCCTGAAAAAAGATGGCGTCGTCCTTCTAGAGCTCAGGGGGCATCACACGCTGGCGCTGGAGGGGTTGGCTACACATTTCAGGGTTGTACACGCCGCTTTGTCAAGCCAGATGCTGGAAAAAACTGATCACATGACCCAATGCAGCGCGTGCAGAGATGTTTTTAAGACATTTTAATCCACTGATAAATAGCTGCACTTAGATGGTGGCGCCCTCTTTCTTTTGCTTTCAAAGTTCTGAACTGCAGCCACGTAGCTGCTATGGGAAGCTGCAAGCGGCACTGAGATGGACCACACTGGAATACAGGCTGTGCGGTGATGCAGCTGCAGTTTCAGAACTCGGCTCTGCAGGGGGCGTCACACTCTGACGCTGGTGGGCTTGGCTACACATTTCAGGCCTGTACACGCCCCTTTGTCAAGCCAGATACTGGAAGAAACTGATTACCTGACCCAATGCAGTGAATGCATATATTTTAGTTATGACATTTTAATCGGCTAATAAATAGCTGCACTTAGATGGTGGCGCCCTCTTTCTTTTGTTTTCTGTGTAAGTTCCAAACTGCAACCAAATGTAGCTGCTATGGGAAGCTGCCGGATGGCAAGCGGCACTGAGATGGACCACGCTGGATTGCAAGCTGTGCGGTGATGCAGCTGCTGTTTCAGAACTCTGCTCAACAGGGGGCGTCACATGCTGATGTTGGTGGGATTGGCTACGCATTTCGGAGCTGTACACGCCCCTTTGTCAAGCCAGATACTGGAAGAAACTGATTACCTCACCCAATGCAGTGAATACATATATTTTAATTATGACATTTTATTCTGCTAATAAATAGCTACACTTAGATGGTGGCGCCCTCTTTCTTTTGTTTTCTGTGTAAGTTCCAACTGCAACCAAATGTAGCTGCTATGAGAAGCTGCTGGATGGTAAGTGGCAATAAGATGGACCACGCTGGAACGCAAGCTGTGCGGTGATGCAGCTGCAATTTCCAAACTTGGCTCAGCAGGGGGCGTCACGTGCTGATGCTGGTGGGCTTGGGTATGCGTTTTGGGGTTGTACACACCCCTTTGTCAAGCCAGATACTGGAAGAATCTGATTACCTGACCCAATGAAGTGAATGCATGTATTTTAGTTATGACATCTTAATCTGCTAACAAATAGCTACACTTAGATGGTGGCGCCCTCTTTTTGTTTTCTGTGTAAGTTCCAAACTGCAACCAAATGTAGCTGCACCAGGAAGCTGCCGGATGGCAAGCGGCACTGAGATGGACCACACAGGCTTTGCGGTGATGCAGCTGCGATTTCAGAACTTGGCTCAGCAGGGGGTGTCACACGCTGACGCTGATGGGCTTGGGTATGCGTTTTGGGGTTGTACACGCCCCTTTGTTTCAAGCCAGATACTGGAAGAAACTGATTACCTGACCCAATCAAGTGCGTGCATATATTTTAATTATGACATTTTAATGTGCTAATAAATAGCTGCACTTAGATGGTGGCGCCCTCTTTCTTTTGTTTTCTGTGTAAGTTCCAACCTGCAACCAAATGTAGCTGCACCAGGAAGCTGCCGGATGGTAAGTGGCAATAAGATGGACCACGCTGGAACGCAAGCTGTGCGGTGATGCAGCTGCGACTTCAGAACTTGGCTCAGCAGGGGGCGTCACACGTTGACGCTGGTGGGCTTGGGTATGCGTTTTGGGGTTGTACAAGCCCCTTTGACAAGCCAGATACTGGAAGAATCTGATTACCTGACCAGGGGTGGACTGACAACTCATGGGGCCCCCGGGCAATAGGGGATCATGGGGCCCCTGTGTCCTTGGCCAAACTCAAAAAAGCCTATGAAAAAGGTACCAGGGGCATCTCATGGGGCCCCCTACTGACCCCAGGCCCTCGGGCAGTGCCCCAGTTTTCAAATGGTCAGTCCCCCCCTGTATCTGACCCAATGCAATGCATGCCTATATGTTTTTTAAGCCATTTTAATCCACTGATCAATAGCTGCACTTAGATGGTGGCGCCCTCTTTCTGTGGTCCAACGTAGCAGCGAGGAAGTAAAGAGAAGATGAGGATGTGCGGCGGCTGGAGAGGCCATGAAAGTGACCCCGCGAGCTGACAAGAACGTGAACATAACATTACTAGTTTGGAGGGTAAATTGGATCCTATATAAGAGTCCAGCTGTGTATTGAGCTGTTTGGCTGCAGTCCTGGATGAAAATCCTTAGCCAATCACAGGGCTCGACCCATCGCATTAAAAAGGGGTTGCGCCGTTTTCCTCGAAAAGCGCATTTGCGTCAGGAGGGCTCAGCATCCAGGGGGTCACCTCTGCCGTGCTGCAATTAAAATAATAAATTCGGCCATAAACAGAATGCAGGAGCTGCCACCTGCCCACCTGATCCGGACGCGGCCTACATATCCGTGCACCGAGGCCGAGTTCCGTCTGGTTTTTTTTTTTTTTTTCCCAGCAGCTGTATCAAAGCAAAATCTATAAAGCAGATAATTACGGGTCCGATTCCACTGGAAATAAATAAATAAGAAGGATTTTTCACGCCCGGAGCTGCGCTGCGCGGACCGCCGCTGCCCTCTGCTGCGCACCCTCAGAATTGCGCGCGCGCCCGTTCGCTCAGCAGAATTTTAAAAAAAGGGGAGATCGCGTGTCTTCTGGCAACGATCCAAACGGCAAATAAATTAAAGCCTCATCTCAATGAATAATTCCAGCTGATTATCGCCAGATGAGGGTATCAAATGAGCACTGAAGTACATCAGATTGAAATCAGAGCTGGAGTAGGATAGAAGTCTGTACAGGTACATCCACTACAGAGATTGGGGGAAGGGGGTGGGTATTGCTTTATTAAAATTGAACTCCAGGAGAATATTTAAAAAAAAAAAAAACTTTAATGCGCATCTACGGGAAAAATTCATTTTTTTAAGGGGTGTACTTACAAAAAAAAAATGTGTATAGCGATTTGCCCGGAGAAAGTGCCCGAGCATTTGTTCTGTGCAAAAGAAGGCAGAAAAATCAACATCATTAGGCTAGTTCCTGGGCTGGACGAATGTTTCTCATTGATTTAAAACCGAAAAGACTGCATTTGGCCACTAGATGGCGCTCAGTAGCAAATGAAATAGATTCTTAGCACCATCTAGTGGTCACACCCGGTATTTTCTTGTTTAAACCAATGAGAAACATTCACCCAGCTCAGAAAATCGACTCATGACATTTGGGGAGGAGGGTACCCCGTTCACGAAGAGCGAATGTACGCGCATAGCAAATTGCTATGGACCTTGGGCCCCAGCAGTCAGTAGAGGGAGCATTGATTTGTAAAGGGGCCCTTAACAGTAGTAAGGTGTTGTGGGTTCCTGCCACATGTCCCTAGTCCCACTATCTCCTATAGCATGGCCTCAGTCTCCCACCGCTGCTGACCATTTCCTTCCATCTGTGAAGAATTACATGCAGGAGCGGACTGACCATTTGGAAACTCGGGCACTGCCCGAGGGCCCGGGGTCAGTAGGGGGCCCCATGAGATGCCCCTGGTACCTTTTTCATAGGCTTTTTTGAGTTTGGGCAAGGACACAGGGGCCCCATGATCCCCTATTGCCCGGGGGCCCCATGAGTTGTCAGTCCGCCCCTGTACATGTAACAAATACTATGTGGCCCTATGGAGACAATGGGGGGCCACATTTGAGGTCCCCTTCACCTTGAAATTTGACAAACGCTGTTCTGCTGCCTCTGTTTTCAGAAAATATAACATGTTTGGGGGTTTTATGTAATCTTCAGACCTAAAATTATTTTTTTTCTTAAATGTGTGCAAAAAATAAAAATGCAAAAACAAAAAGGTTAATACTTCTCTATTCGATCCGCCCAATTTGGATATACATTTGTTTCTTTTACATTCTATTCTAATCTATTTCTATTCTTTTACGTTATATTCTATTGTATTTTTATTCTGTTCTTTTCTATTCTTTTCTATTCTATTCTTGTATGTTATAGTCTATTTTTTTCTATTCTATTCTATTCTTTTATGTTCTATTGTTTTCTCTTCTATTCTGTTCTTTTATGCTCTATTCTATTCTATTCTGTTCTTTTATGTTTTCTTTACTTTTATGCTCTATTCTATTCTATTCTGTTCTTTTATGTTTTCTTTTCTTTTATGCCCTATTCTGTTCTATTCTGTTCTTTTATGCTCTATTCTATTCTGTTCTTTTATGTTTTCTTTTCTTTTATGCTCTATTCTATTCTATTCTGTTCTTTTATGTTTTCTTTTCTTTTATGCCCTATTCTGTTCTATTCTGTTCTTTTATGTTCTATTCTAATCTTTTCTATTCTATTCTATTTTTTTTCTATTCTATTCTGTTCTATTATTTTATGTTCAATTGTTTTCTATTCTATTCTTTTCTTTTATCTTCTATTCTATTCTTTCAAAATTCAAGTAAAATTTGATTCAAATTCAATTTGAATTCAGATTTCCTTCGAATTTCATATCGTTATTTCGGAGTCATTACTATTGTAATTTGGAAATTTGGATACATCTGAATCTCCAACAAATGAACCGCACATGTCTATATCAGTGGCGGACTGACAACTCATGGGGCCCCTGTATCCTCGTCCACACTCAAACCACACCCAAAAAAGCCTATAAAAGGTACCAGGGGCATGTCATGGGGCCCCCTACTGACCCCGGGCCCTCGGGCAGTGACCGAGTTCCCAAATGGTCAGTCCACCCCTGGTCTATATTCAACCTCATCAATGATGTTACTATGTAACAATGAGGACACCAAGCTGGCTGTATATAATGACAATCTGTACAACAAAACAAGTCGTTTTGTTAATCAAAGGGTTCGTTCTCGCCCGTATTGCTGCCCAGGACCGCCCCAAGGCACGGACCAATCAATTTTCCATATTTCCTAGGACTTGAGTCCACAACAACGTGCTGTGTTGGTGTGATGGAAAAAGACAAGTTTCATTTTTGGGCAACGCATTTCCAGAGCGTCAACTTAAATAAAGTTTTTTTTAAAAAAAAAAAGCAAACACTGCAATACGTTTTAACAAAGCATCTCAGTGCCCGCGCCCAACGCACACCAGGATGAGCGCCTCGGCTCCCGCCCATCGGTGTGGATGATCCCTATTCATTTATACGTATTACCAAAACATTCACAAAAATAATGACAGTCCCCTTTAATCTTTATTTAGTCGGACTTGCTGGCCCTTGAATTCCTCGGCTTGTGGACGTGCAGGCGCAAATCTCCTCGGATCCGCCTGGATTAGCTGTCTCTAGACTGGGGATGAAATATAAATATGAATAGTATGGCGATGACTCCATCTAATACCTAATAAATGACAAAAACTCTCGCAGGGCCACAAGCAACAAGCTGACTAAACAGAGGAAGCGTTCTACAAACACAAAGTGACTTCATTATGAACTGCCACCCGAAAGACGCTCACTGACCTTCTGCAACAGGCTGAGGATTCCCAACTGAAAGGAGCAGCCGATTCTGTATTGTGTGATCCCAGAAGAGAATCCTTTCCCTTTTCTTAAATATCTGTAGTGCTGGCCAGTGGCCCCATTAAGCCGCTTGGCAGAATGTCGCACCTTGGCCCCAGTACCTTGGCCCCAGTACCTTGGCCCCAGCTCATTGCTCCCTATGCTGAAAAATTATATATGGTATGCTCCCAAAATAGTGGAAATCCTTGCCCTTTTACTTAAATATCTATAGTGTTGGCCAGTGGCCCCTTTAAGCCGCTTGGCAGGATGTCGCACCTTGGCCCCAGTACCTTGGCCCCAGTACCTTGGCCCCAGTACCTTGACCCCAGATTATTGCTCCCTCTGCTGAAAAATTCTATATGGTATGCTCCCAAAATAGAGGAAATCCTTGCCCTTTTACTTAAATATCTATAGTGTTGGCCAGTGGCCCCTTTAAGCCCCTTGGCAGGATGTCGCACTTTGGCCCCAGCACCGTGGTTCCTGCTCATTGCTGCCTCTGCTGAAAACTTCTATATTGCATGCTCCCAGGAGAGCGGAAATCCTTTCCCTTTTCTTAAATATCTGTAGTGCTGGCCACTGGCCCCTTTAACACGCTTGTCAGGATGTCGCACCTTGGCCCCAGTACCTTGGCCCCAGTACCTTGGCCCCAGCTCATTGCTCCCTCTGCTGAAAAATTCTATATTGCAGGCTGCCAGAAGAGCGGAAATCCTTTCCCTTTTCTTAAATATCTGTAGTGCTGGCCAGGGGCCCCCTTAAGCTGTTTGGCAGGATGTCGCACCTTGGCCCCAGTACTTTGGCCCCAGTACTTTGGCCCCAGCTCATTGCTCCCTATGCTGAAAAATTATATATGGTATACTCCCAAAATAGAGGAAATCCTTGCCCTTTTTCTTAAATATCTATGGTGTTGGCCAGTGGCCCCTTTAAGCCCCTTGGCAGGATGTCGCACTTTGGCCCCAGCACCGTGGTTCCTGCTCATTGCTCCCTCTGCTGAAAATTCTATATTGCATGCTCCCAGGAGAGCGGAAATCCTTGCCCTTTTTCTTAAATATCTGTAGTGCTGGCAGTAAGTGATTCGGCAGGATGTCGCACCTTGGTCCCAGTACTTTGGCCCCAGTACCTTGGCCCCAGCTCATTGCTCCCTCTGCTGAAAAATTCTATATGGTATGCTCCCAAAATAGAGGAAATCCTTGCACTTTTTCTTAAATATCTGAAGTGCTGGCCAGTGGCCCCTTTAAGCCGCTTGGCAGGATGTTGCACCTTGGCCCCAGTACCTTGGCCCCAGTATTTGGCCCCAGCTCATTGCTCCCTATGCTGAAAACTTTTATATTGCAGGCTGCCAGAATAACAGAAATCCTTTCCCTTTTTCTTAAATATCTGTAGTGCTGGCCAGTGGCCAATTTAACACACTTGTCAGGATGTCGCACCTTGGTCCCAGTACTTTGGCCCCAGTACTTTCACCCCAGCTCATTGTTCTCTCTGCTGAAAAATTCTATATGGTATACTCCCAAAATAGTGGAAATCCTTGCCCTTTTTCTTAAATATCTATAGTGTTGGTCAGTGGCCCCTTTAAGCCCCTTGGCAGGATGTTGCACTTTGGCCCCAGCACCGTGGTTCCATCTCATTGCTGCCTCTGCTGAAAAATTCTATATTGCATGCTCCCAGGAGAGCGGAAATCCTTGCCCTTTTTCTTAAATACCTATAGTGCGGGCAGTAAGTGATTCGGAAGGATGTTGCACCTTGGCCCCAGTACCTTGGCCCCAGCTCATTGCTCCCTCTGTTGAAAAATTCTATATTGCAGGCTGCCAGAAGAGCGGAAATCCTTTCCCTTTTCTTAAATATCTGTAATGCTGGCCAGTGGCCCCTTTAAGCTGCTTGGCAGGATGTCGCACCTTGGCCCCAGTACCTTGGCCCCAGCTCATTGCTCCCTCTGCTGAAAACATCTATATTGCAGGCTGCCAGAAGAGCGGAAATACTTTCCATTTTCTTAAATATCTTAAGTGCTGGCCAGTGGCCCCTTTTAGCCGTTTGGCAGGATGTCGCACCTTGGCCCCAGTACCTTGGTCCCAGTACCTTGGTCCCAGTACCTTGGCCCCAGCTCAGTGTTCCCTCTACTGAAAAATTCTATATGATATACTCCCAAAATAGAGGAAATCCTTGCCCTTTTTCTTAAATATCTGTAGTGCTGGCCAGTGGCCCCTTTAGGCCGTTTGGCAGGATGTCGTCGTACTTTGGCCCCAGCTCAATGTTCCCTCTGCTGAAAACTTCTATATTGCAGGCTCCCAGAATAGCAGAAATAGCAGAATGGCTAAGGTTTTTCTGTGCTGAGAGCGTGTCATTGTGTGCTCCCGGCACAGTGACTGAGCTGTCACAGTCAGCTCTCAGTCTCTAGCCACTTTACATCTGCCCTATAGCAATTTTACTACTACAGGGTGGCTGTCCTGTGCAAAATCACACACACATATATATATATATATATATATATATATATATATACCTCGGTTTACGAATGACTTGGTTAACATAATTTTCAGTTTACAAATGAAAATCCATTGAAAATAATGTCTCGGTTTACAAATTTTTTTTGCAATACGAAGCAAGTTTCCCCAGGATGCATTGTGCCCTGAGAGGTTTATAGCGCCGCCCCGTGCCTGTAAAGTGCACTTTATAAAGAGTTTTGAACAGATAAGGCTTTTTTTTACTTTTTTTCTGGCCTCTGGAATGGATTAATTGGTTTTCAATGCATTTACGAATTTTTTTCATAATACGAAGCAAGTTTCCCCGGGATGCATTGCGCCTGGGAGGTTTACAGCGCCGGCCCCGTGCATGCTGGAGTCTGTGGGTAGCACATGGCGTTGAGTGTGGAGGTGTTGCTGCGGTTTGTGCATCGAGTTTTGGAGCCATTCTGGAGATTTTTAATCATGTCCCTGTACAGTATTTACGCCTTTAAAGTGCACTTTATAAAGAGTTTTGAACAGATAAAAGACTTTTTTTACTTTTTTCTGACCTCTGGAACGGATTAATTGGTTTTACGAATTATTTTTTAATCATGTCCCTGTACAGTATTTATGCCTTTAACCACTTCCAGACCGGACACTTTTACCCCCTTCCTCTCCAGGGCAATTTTTTCAGCTTTCAGCGCTATCACACTTTGAAT